CCCCCCCCCCCCCCCCCCCCCCCCCCTCCTCCCTCCCCCACATCAACCCTTCACACCCTCCTTTCTATGGCCTGCTTTTTTCTGGCAAGTCTTGAGTTTTGGATTGCTTTGAGATTTATTTTATCAGTTATTGGTTGTTGTCGTTCGATCCTACAAATTTTACAGCTTTTTTATCAGCAGAATCTCTAACAGGCTGAATCATCTTATGTAACACGATAGCGATTTTTGCTTCTTTGCTGAATCATGATTCACTGAAAATGCAGAAAAGTATGGTTTATCGCTTTCTTAAACTGTTTGTTTTCCACTCATTTTGATTCCTAATTTAATTTTTTCTGGCTTTTCTTTTTTTTTTTTTGGACATAACTGGGCTGTTTTTCAGTTATTTACCCTCTTTGTTATGGCCAATTTTCATGACTATATCAGCTAAGTAGGAAAAAATGTAAAGATTTCTGTCGGAACCGTTGAGCTCGTAATCCTTCTGTTCAGGAAATGAAGCGGACTTCCGGATCGGCAGCAGGCTGACCACCAGGTGATGTAGTATTGTTCAAAGCAGCTGGAAAAGTTGTAATATCGTTCTCCTTCTGTTTCTTCTTGTCGTCTTTCTTTTTCTTTTCCGTTAAGCACTTTGACGTCATACTGATGAGATCCTGATGCGGTGTTTAGTTAAGATGTAAATGAATTTTGGGCCGAAGTTTCATATTCAAATCTCTTATCCCTTTCTCTCATATTGTGATCTGTCGCCCCATCTAAGCTTCCAGGCTCAACCTGGTTGCTACAATCGGCTTGACAGTTACACACACAGAGAACCAGATTGCGAATCACTATTGATGCAAGTTCTTGGTAGCATACCTGAACCTAGTGAATCTGTAAACAGCACTCACTTTCAAGCTCGACCCGTCGACTCATGTCCATCATTAACAAGGTAGCCAAGTTAGGTCTTCAGGAGTGCAGCCAAGTTCTGTATGAAGTTAAGTCTATTCGGTCTGTGTTTACAGCTAAAGAGTATAACACAGGCTGCGTCATAAAATGTCTTTTTACACGTGACACTTAGTCTGTCCTTCTATTCTGCTATTTCTGTACGAGGCGCTGTTTCTTTATAGTAGACAGATGGTAAAAACTAAATTGCCCACCTTACCAAACATTCAAATTTTCATGTTTTTTCGCTCTGGCAGCTGGTGGGAAGCGATATAATCGATGGCCTTGCCGTCTGATGAATGCTTTTGCGGGATACTACCACTAGGAGCACTGTCCATCTTTCGTAGAGGTTAAAAAACAAAGAGAGGGTTTTGACTCTGTCCTTTGCTCCGCTCCGGTCAATTCTGATAGAATGGCCGATATTCCTTCCTCATTCAGCCTACGATACTCGACGAACTTTAACCGATTTGAAAAGTATCGAGAATTCAAGCAGCCATCCAGAATGCATATTAGTCATAGTCTGAAGTGTAATTTTTTAAATTTCATTATTATCCTAAGTAATGAAAATTATTATTACTATTATCACTGTTATTATCATCATTATTATTATCGTTATTATTCCACTATCGAGCCTTTCCTAAATATATGCGGATTTATGCGTGCTTGCTTTCTTTCTCCATTCCTCCTCCTGCACGCTCTTCCTCATCCTTTCTTACATCTTCGTTGTATGGTTTCGGACAAATTTAGTAGTACATTTTAATTCATAATTTGCATGTTAATGAATATTTTTACTGAAGTGCAGCAGGTAAAAGTGTTGTATTTTTCTTTTTTTTTTGGAGAAGAGAGGAACGAAGAGGGAAGGAATTTTTGAGGGCCACACTTCAATACATTCGCATGATTCATCAAAATAACTTTTCCTTGCTTCTCCCTTACAGCTTTTCTGCCTTTTGTCTGCTCCGCAAACTATTCATTGCAGTATGCCGTCCGCATTCCCGAAGCAAATAGCCGAGAAACATCCGAAGCGTCTTTGTTGTAAAATTTCCGTCATTTTTGGCACGACTTCAGCTACATTTGCAATCCTGGTTATGCGTATTTGCATATATGCAAATGTCAAAACGCACATAGTAACGACCCGTGGTGTGTGTGTGTGTCTGTCCGGTATTTCAACTCGGCGACCAAACAAGCTCGAGCGCCAAAATTTTGCCATTGGGTTCCTTGGCAACTGCCACCTCAGGACTGCGGAAACCACGCACGTCTGGTTCGCGTACGAGCAAGTAAAAGTTTTGACGTGAACATCGCCAACTCGTGAGCCAGACAAGCTGGGAAGCTGAAATTTCTAGGGGATGTTCCCAGCCTATACACAGCTTCGAGGACAGCACGTCACAAATTCGAGCTACTGAGTTTTTTTCTTACATGCATATATGTTTTTGTAAGTCGTCGTCATCATCATTTTCCCTCATTTCTTTCCTTACCACGAAAAACATTTTAATAAATTTTCGTATAAACACCGTGCTTACTTATAGTACCAAAATAATGAGATCATCAGACAGTCCACGTGGTGATCCGATGTTAGTGATGTCACTGGAATGCTCCAACACGCCGAGCCCAGAAGTTAGATATGTGTCGAGTCTGTTTTGCCTGTACTAGGATGTCCGAACCAAGGCAATATCCGGATTGATACGTGCATCGATTCACCGCCACTTTACCCCAATATAACTTTATTCCAAAACAGCTGATAACTCATTAATGGTTGCTATGCAAAAGTATTATCTAATGGTGATGAAATAACACCTCTCTACGCCCTTATTTCATTCTTCTTGTAAAATTGCTACCGCAGTTCCATTTTCCTCACGTATGTTTCTGTTTTACGTATAAATGGCATGCAAACGCCTCTCGTTCTGAAAATCAAAGGTTTCCTTCGGTCTTTATGACAAACAGCCTTTCTACGATTCATTCACTCATTTCGATAGGGAATTGGTACTCGTGATGCAGGAAGTCATACTCACTCTCAGCTTCCTTCTAAGCAAACCTCGGAGGAGGTAACTGCCATATAAATTATGCTATGAACGAAAATGCTACTATGCGTATTGTGACAGAAAAAAAGAAAACACAAATAATGTGGAAAAATAAGTGAACGAAATTGGGAAGCATAGTGGCGAGAGGACGAGTCTAAAAAGTGAAAACACTGCATCTTTGGAAATGCATAAAAATTCATTTTCTGAAAAAAACGCCGCAGAGCTAAGAAAAAATTGATTCGTTTGAAGGGGGACGATTTCGCCATGCACCCCAAATGATCAGAAGAATGAGAGACTCGTCCGTATTCATTCTATCCTCATGTCCAATCACGCCAGTTAGTACGAAAACGATACAAAACCCTAAATATATGTGTTTCCAATACAATAAAATTTTATGATCACATTTTGGAGAAAGTTGCTGGCTTTGTTGAAAAGTCGACAGGTGGAGAAAGCTGCTGGCTTTGTTGAAAAGTGTTGCACGTCGTGCATTAGCGAGTGGTTCTCCCAGGGATGTAAACGACCATTCGTACAGCTTCCATAGAAGTTGCACATACACATCGAACAGGTGGCGGGTGCTAAGGAAAGCTTGCAGCTCAAGACCAAAAGGTCTGGCACAGTCACACAGAACATATGAGATATACAAATAATATCACTGAAGTGAGATACCAACATCGACATCCAAGCGGTGGTTTTAGCAGTGTTGGCAGTTGCATTTTCCCAGCTTCACTATTCAAGATTGACCAAGAAGCGGCTTTTGATCACCTCTGTAACGTTGAATTTAAATTTTTGTGATTTTTCTCTCTGTACTTTTTCTGATTTCTGGTGCCAAACTAAAGAGGTTCGGTTATCCATCCTTTTGTCACAAACGCGGAACTTGATTTCTCATCGGTATGAATTCGCATGTGTGTTTGCAAGTTTACTTTCTGGCCGAAGTTCGAATCGCAATGGTCGCATTTGAACGGCTTCTCACCAGTATGAGTTTGCATGTGTCTTTGCAAGTGTCCTTTTCGGCCGAAGCTCGAACTGCAGAGATCGCATTTAAACGGCTTCTCTCCAGTATGAGTTTGCATGTGTGCTCGCAAGTTTTCTTTCCGGCCGAATTTCGAATCGCAATGGTGGCATTTGAACGGCTTCTCACCAGTATGAATTCGCATGTGTGTTTGCAAATGTTGTTTCAAGCTGAAGCTCGAATTGCAATGAACGCATTTGAACGGCCTCTCCCCACTATGAGTCCGCATGTGTGTTTGCAAGTGGTGTTTCAAGCTGAATCTTGAATTGCAATGACCACATTTGAACGGCCTCTCACCAGTATGAATTCTGCAATGCACCCGTAAATTTTCCAGTGTTCCGAACTTCTTATCGCATTGTGTGCAGTTGTATGGCTTCTCGCCAGTGTGTCTTCTTAAGTGAGTCTTCAGCCGTGAAGTAGCGGAAAAGATTTTATCGCAATAACTGCATACGAGTGAGCGTCTGCCACTGCCAATTTTTTCTTCGCTGTGACCAGCACATTCAGTGCTTTCGCTTGCTGTAGCCGATGTTGTCGCATGCCCTTCTGGAAGTAGCTGGTGGCTATCGGCGCAGCTGACTGTATCATCCTCTTTCTGACTTCAGCTCAATTGGGCTCGCAAGCTGAAAAATCGTTGAGAAACAGTCGTCTTTTTATTACGCCAAATAGTAACCCGCCCTTTAATTTAAAAAAGACATCGCAATTCTAGTTTTCGAATATTCAGCCGTGAAATGGCGGAGATTTTATCGCAATAACTTCACAGGACCGCGGTACCAACCCTCACGCAAGTCTGGGCCCTACGTACGGGAGGGTGAGATTTTTGGCGGGAAAATCACTAGCTCGGAAGCAAGAAAAGTTAGCTGAAATTTTGAGGTTATGTTCCACATCCACATAGAACTCAAAGACTTCGAATTCAGCCCCCCCGGTATACGTATTACCACATGTGGCCCGTGAGAGTTCCTGGCGTGAAAATTGCTAACTTGTGAATCAGCAAAACCGGAAGGCTGAAATTTTCAGGAAATGTTCCCAACGTAAATACAACATAAACTTATCAAATTCAGCCCCTAGTCGTGCGCGCTTTTCACCTACGGCCGCGTGAAATTTATTGGGGGGGAGGGGGGGCGAGGGAGAAGGGTGGGACAACGGCTAACTTGGGAACCAGGAAAGCTGTAAAGCTGAGACTTTAGGAGAATATTCCCCGTCCAATACAACTTGAAGTTGCAAATTCAGCCTCTAGGTACGCTTGATTCTCGTATACGGGCACTTAAACTTTTGACGGGAAAATTATTCATTGAACAACTAGTTCATTTTCTAACAACCTCTATACGGAAATTATTTTTGTTTATGCAAATTTTTGCGGTGATTTACGGTGTTATGCGCATACGGAGGAGGGGGGGGGGGGGGGGGGGGGG